TAATGTTCATCCTGCACCTGTTCTGGGCCAGGCCCAACGCTAGGGGCTTTCACAGTTATTACCTCATTTAATCCTCACAAACACCCGTGGGGCGAGCATTAATCTGCCGTTTTTACAGATGAGAAACACGAGGCTCAGAGAGTTGAAGCGATTTCCCCGGTGACAGTGGGATTTAAACCCAGCTGCAAACCCTACACCCCTTCCAGCACCTCTGCTGAAGTGCTGGCCCAGCACCCACCACTGTGGAGGCGTCCTTGCCTGGGTATCCTCCTTGGACCCCAAGTGGTAAAGCACTGCACAGGCATTGAGGGGTTCCTGCAGGTTTCTCTCCATTGTTCTGGAGACTTGGGGCCCAGGAGCACAAAGTGCCATTAGCAGAACCTGCTTGTCCTTGTGGATTCTTCTCAATGACATATTATAAAGCCAGAGACGAGGCCATGCCAGACCTGACTCCGGGTCCAGGTTGAGGAAGGGACTGTTTATCTGAGCTTGGCTCCTGCCTCTGCCCCTCCTCATCCTTGGCAGAACATTCCCCAATCCTGGGTGACTCGAGTCGACAGAGCCCTGTCAGCCTTCCAGAACATCTGAGTAAATGTAACCACTTCCTTATCCATGCACTGGATTAAGTTGGAGGAACCTTTCAATGCTGGCCCTGAATCGTTTCCTCTTGCACAACCCTGAGCCATGAGCTCCTGGCCCCGAGTCTGCTCCTGGGCAGGGTCACTATCCTGGGGCTGCCTGAGGCCCACCACGGCTCCAGGACAGTCCAGCAGCTGGGTGTCCTTGAAAGACATTTGGTGCAAGCCAGCTGTGCTATCAGAATGGGCTGGGCAGCTGGGTGCTGAGAGGGGCTGCTGGAGGGAGTGGGCAGTGCCGCCCACCTACACCTGCACCCCCATCTTCCAGGTACCAGATCCACGCCAGCCCGCCCCCCAGCCCAGGCATCAGACTGACACCTTCCTCCACCCAGACACCAGACCCACACACACCCCTCCACCTCCCAGGCACCAGA